CCCAGCCCCGCCCAGCCCGGCCGGCCCGCCCACACCCAGCCCCGCCCACACCCAGCCCCGCCTACCAGTGTAGGAGAGGCCCCAGCTGTCCTCATCCCTGCCCAGCAGGCTGCAGAACGTGTGGTGGTATTTGTCCAGGTCCACGTCCGATGTCCCGATGCCCACCATCTGGGAACAGCGGGGCTGGCAGAGGGGCCTGGCCCCGGGCCCCTCCACGCCCGCCCTCTGCCGGCCCCGCTTACCATGTCAGTGCCGTAGACGGGCGAGGTCATCTTGATCTCCCAGAAGTGCTGGCCTTCGCCCAGCTCCTTGGCGCCTCGGATGGCGGCGGTCCCGCAGCTGTACTCCATGTGGAAGCTCACCTTGCGTTTGTCACAGCTCAGCAAGGTGGCTGAGGACCTGCTCGCGTCATCCCAGACCCAGTCGAAATCTGCTGAGCGAAGGGAGGGCCGTGCTGAGTGCCGGTCCGGTCCGTGGGCGGCCCGCCCGCCCGCCCGCAGCGTCCCGTCCCCTCCCCCGCTCACACTCGTCTTCCTCCCCGCAGCGGCAGTCCTTGCCGCGGTGGGCCGGGCGCAGGCTGCCGCACAGGGAGGCCTCGCGCTGGCCCTGGCAGTCACAGAAGGACTCTCCGGTCACCGGCACGGCGCTGGGGATGGACGCTGGCAGGGACGAGCACTCAGGGTCAGAATCCGAGTCACTGTGCTGGAGGGAAGATGTGCCCGGCTGTGAGCTGCCCCTTCCTCTACACAGAGCCCGAGGGCCCCTGGCCTGCCCAGACATTCCAGAGTCTCAGGTGCACCCGCTCCCCTCAAAGCCCAAAGTCTCTGCAGCCAGACTGCCCACAGCCTTGGTGGAGCCTTCAGCTCCGCCCTCCAGCCTTTTCCAGCAGCTTCTGAATCTCAGATCATCTACAGGCCTGGCTCCGCCGACCAAGTCTGATGTGACACTAATAAAGACAGCGGTGCATGCTCCAGCTGCCTCCTCTTGGAGAGCGTCTCCACCACCCAGGATGTGTGAACGCTCTGCATCCTGGACCAGCCCTGGGGATGTGCGAACGCTCTGCGTCCTGGACCAGCCCTGGGGATGTGCGGACGCTCTGCGTCCTGGACCAGCCCTGGGGATGTGCGGACGCTCTGCGTCCTGGACCAGCCCTGGGGATGTGTGAACGCTCTGCATCCTGGACCAGCCCTGGGGATGTGTGAATGCTCTGCGTCCTGGACCAGCCTGCCCAGGGCCAGGAAGACACAACCGACCTCAGCAGCCTAGAAGGATCTGGTCCCTGCCCTGTCGCTACAAAATGACCCAAAGACTTTTGACCTTACCAGACCTGCTTCCTCTGCCGCCTGGCAGGGCAACTGGTGTCCACCGCTCGTGTCCCCCCCCCCGCCCCTCTGTGCCGCCAGCCCTGACCGTGTCCAGCCGTCCGCCCTCGGGGTGGCACCGTGGCACCCCCTTCACCTTCCTGGGTGGAGGTGCTGGGCTACAAGGTACATTTCCTCAATTTCACCACTTCTCTGGGGTCTCTCTTGCCTGGTTCTCTGCCCTCCCTCTCGGCTGGAAGCCCCTTTGGGTGGGGGGGTAGGGAGGGAGGACACAGGTAAAGGGGCCAGGAGGTGGCTGGCAGCAGGTTGTAGAAGGGAGCCTGGTCTTCCTGTCTGCTGCCCAGGGTGCAGCTGTCCCCAGGGGGCACCCCCAAGGGAACATGGGCTCCCGTCCTGCCCCACCATGACTGCATAGAAGGGCTACCCCAAAGCTAGAAGAGACAGCACAGGGCCACGCAAGACCATACTACCCACGGAAAAGGCAAGCTGGCCTTGCTCCTGGCCGAGTTTGGGGACAGAAGAGGGTATTGTTCAGTCCAACAGTGCCCAGGTGCCCACTCACCACCTGTGCACACTGCACCACAGGGTCAGCTCACCACCTGTGCACACTGCACCACAGCGTCAGCTCACCACCTGTGCACACTGCACCACAGGGAACCGCTCGCCACCTGTGCACACTGCACCACAGGGTCAGCTCACCACCTGTGCACACTGCACCACAGGGTCAGCTCACCACCTGTGCACACTGCACCACAGGGTCAGCTCACCACCTGTGCACACTGCACCACAGAGTCAGCTCACCACCTGTGCACACTGCACCACAGGGTCAGCTCACCACCTGTCCACACGGGGTGATTGCTCACCACCTGTGCACACAGGACATCACAGGCCCATTAGGTGACAGCGTGCAAGCAGCATGTGTGTGTCACCGCCCAACCCAGACACACCGCATCGCACAGCTGTGAGCCTGTGAGGCAGGGACACAGGTAAACAGGCTGCTCTGGGCCAGGCAGTCTGGACAGGAAGGACAGGTGGCATGTCAGGAATGCAGGCCACTCTCCGGCTCCAGAGGCTCCGGGGAGGCCCGGGACGCTGCCCACCAGCTCAGTGAACCAACTGCTCCCAGCTGTCCCCTCTGGCTTGGTGGTCCACAAAGCTCTCTGAGAGACCACTTCTACCGAGATGCCTGACCGGGTGAGAGTACAGGGCAGAGCCAGACTCGGCCTGAGACGCCTCGGGAAGCCAGTGGAGAAGCAGCATCCCGAGAGAACACACGACCTAACCCACAGACATCAGCACAGAACTGCTCACTCCCCAGCGGTCTCAGAGCCGGGGGTCTGGCGGGAATCGGGTCCTCAGGGGTCACAAGCTCTTATACACAGCTACTGAGAGTGAGGCGACCGACACTTTGCTATGGTACAAGCATCTCCGAGGGCAGACCACGTGTACAACAGGACCTCCGGAAACGCAAAGACCAGGGGGATCTGCGGCGCATCTGAGCAGCGGCCGCCTCTCCACACTGTACTTGCCACGGGCCAGGCTGGGTGGAAGGCCTGTCCTGCGTCCCTCTGTCCTACGTGCCCGGGCTCTTCTACCAGACCGAAGACGCCTCTGCGCGGGGAGGCAGCCCCTTCCCCGGTTCCCTGACCCCCGGTCCGCACGCCGGCCGGGCTCACCTCCGCCGCGGACCTACCTGGCCATCAGAGTCATAGCCCCAGTTGGTGGTGCCTGTCAGAGCCAGGGCGCGCGCGTCGGCCTCGCGGCGGGCTGCGCTCAGGACCAGACGCCAGGCTCGGCCGCTGCGGGGCCGTCGGGCCATGGTGAGGAGGACCTGGGAAAAGACGAGCTCTGAGCCTCCCGCGGCCCTGCGGCCAGGCCCGCGCCGGCCGGGGGCTCTTCGGCGGCCCATACCTGGCTCCAGCGCCGGAGCCCCTGCGCCAGCCCCAGGGAGACGGTGCAGACGCGCCCCCAGACGCCCATGGCTGCGGGCCCCACGCCAGACTGG